CATCTTCTTAGAAAACTTATAATGATATGTTACAGCACTGGAGGCTCGAAGAAGCCTTCCAAATCATCTGGTCCAACCCCATGATTTTACAGATGAAGAACTTGGGAAATAAACTGGCTGATCCAACATACTGAAGACTCTAATTAAAACATCTGCTTAATTTTAAGGTGGCTGACAAATTGGAGAGTGGGGTGGGAAATAAAACCTCCAAAACATATTTTAGTAGTAATTTTGATCAAGGGGCCTATTAAATGAACAGAGTAAAGACTGTGATCTCAGTAGCACCCCATCCCAACATCTGGAAACCTGAGAGATTGCAAACTGCCAGTGTGAACACATTGAATCGATGAGTAGGGGCAAAGGAAGAAAACGCAGGAGCTCCACCCTGAAGTCTGATGGCCTAAGCACCAATCACTGGCCTAATTTTATGCCTAATTGATGGGTGTCCAGGAGCTGCCCTGACGTGATGGTGCCTCCATTTCCGGAAAAGTAGAGATTTGAGAAAATATTTCTCATGGGAGAGATACATGACCACTGACCTGACAAAGGAAAGGTGGCTTAGATCCCTTGTTGGTACTCAGTGGTACCTGGACAAGCAGCATCAGCATCACCTGTGAGCTTGTTAGAAATGCAAAATCTGGCTGGGTGCAGTAGCTCATGCCTATAATCCCAACACTTTGTGAGGCCAAGGCAGGTGGATCACCTAAGGTCAGGAGTTCAAGACCAGCCTGGCCAACATGGTGAAACCCTGTCTCCACTAAAAATACAAAAATCAGATGGGCATGGTGGTGCACGCCTATAACCCCATTCCCTTGGGAGGCTGAGGTAGGAGAATCACTTGAACCTGGGGAGGCAGAGATGGCAGTGAGCCAAGATTACACCACTGCACTCCAGCCTGGTGACAGAGCGAGACTCTATCTCAAAAAAAAATAAAAATAAAAAAGAAATGCAGAACCTTGGCCCCACCCAAGGAGTCAGTATATGCATATTTACAAGATCCCCAGGTCCTTCTGTGCACATTAAAATTTGAGAAGCATTGTTTAGCTAGCACGGCAGCAAAAGAAAGTATAATTGCCTACCTGTGATCTAAGTTTCAGGAATAAAATAACCTCCTCTTCTCTATTACCTGCTCCACTCTCTTTGATCTTTAAGCCTTACTTTAAACTTTAAATGTTCTAAAATTTAGCCTAAATTTTAAATGGGCTTAGTGAGTATCTCATTAAATAGTCCGTTTTTTCAAAAGGTATCTCAAAGTTAAGAAAAATATACATATAGATATTCTGGGACTTTTACCATTTTAAAGGGTTACATAAATTATAAATGGAGGTATTTTTCCTGCTATTTCCTGCTGGGGTCTGAGTAGGAGCATGACTAGTATTTCTTCAGCTCGGAGTCAAAAACCTCAGGTATACCAGGTGAAGGAGGAAAATGAATTCAGAAGACAAATGTGTTTCTGGTGAAAAGGGAAATTTCTTGTAAGGGAATGTTATCAAAAGGCTGTAAAGGTCACATGGCCCAACCCCGCTGCCAAAGCTAAATCCCTTTACGGGACACCTGCAGTATCTACTCTCCCACTCCTGGACATGTGGTGCTTACCACCTTCAAAGGCAACCCATCTCAACACCACACAGCTCTAATAATTAGAGAGCTTTTCCTAAAATTTGTCTCCCTATAGATTTTAATAGCCCTACAATCAATAACTCCACAATTATTTTCTCTACTATTAATTCATCCCCATCATCATTTTTCTATTGCACTTCTCTTTTTTTTGAGACAGGGTGTCACTCTGTTGTCACCCAGTCTAGAGTACAGTGGCTCAATCACAGCTCACTGCAGCCTCAACTTCTCGGGCTTAGGTGATCCTCCCACCTCAGCCTCCCAAGTAGCTAGGACTACAGGTGCACACCACCATGCCCAGCTAATTTTTGTATTTTTTGTAGAGATGGGGTTTTGCCATGTTGTTCAGGCTGGTCTCAAACTTCTAAGCTCAAAAAAATCCTCCTGCTCCAGCCTCCCAAAGTGCTGGGATTATAGACATGAGCCTCTACACCCAGCCAATTTCTTATTGGGATTTTTTTTCTTCAAACACAGAAAGTCAAAGAAACAAGTTTCATGTATTTATTTCTCATGGGACTGGGCAGCTGGTGGCAGTAACGTATATGAAAATATTAACTTTCGCTTTTATTTTCAGGTACCTTACAAAAACCTCACATATGCAAGAGGAGTTTTTAAAAGACGGATTATCACAAGTCATAGGGAATGTACCGAAGGACATAATTATACCGGAAGTGTAGTTTAAGGAGAGCACTGTCTTTAAATACTGTGCTAGCCCTAAGCTTCCTGGGAGTCAAAACAGGTACGAAATGGGGCAAGAAGGTCATACGTAAAAAAATGTTTAAGATTTTCTGGCCTAGGTGAATCACAGATGTTTAGCCTTGGGAAGTGTCTTAGGTCAAGTCTAAATCTGCCACTTACAGAAAAGGAAACTGGAAATCAGAGGCAAAATGACTTACTCAGTATTAGACATCTGGTTAGCAGCAGAGCTGGGTAATGCAGTGACCCTAATCCTGGTCAATGCTCTTTTTTTCTTTTCTGTCAGACTCTGAGTACCAGGTTTGTTAAGAAAGCTTGTCCAGCAAAAAAATCAGGAATATGGCATCAGAGTCAAGGCCCACCAAGGGCCATGGCTATGGAATACTCAAAAAGCAAACCCAAGCCATCCTAGCACAGACAGATAACATGAATCCCCAAATTCACAAGCCTAATACCAGATAAAAAGGTTATATTGGGGCTATAAGCCTTCCTTCCTCCTCTTCTCTTTCCTATAATTCCCTTTGCCCCTATATCCATTGATTCTGAACTGCAAAGATATCCCACTAAACAGCTTATTTTAATCTCCTATTAAAATAATCTCTTTCTGATGAGAAGTTCCTGCTCCCAGAACAGTAACACCCCGTGAAATAGTTCATTCTTTCCAAGATACTTGAAGCTGAAGGCTCATAGCATACTGAACTAGAGTCTTTGGTAAAAAGTGAAATATTAGAGGAGATCAATTTATCCAGCCATTGAATCATGGGATAGATCCAAACAATATTAAAAGAATCGTTTCTACTGTCTGTTTTAAAAAATAACACTACTGTAGTATTTTAAAGAACAATCTGTTAGAGCATACGGTGAGAGATGCCCGGTCAGCAGCAATACATCCATGGAGCTCCCTATGACTGGTTGGTGGGTTCCAGGAGCCGGCCTGCGAGATCCTAATGGACTGTTGCAGTGACATAAACTCATCCACAGAAATAACCAGCTGTGTCTCAGTGTTTTGTAAGTTTGGGCAGACCACAATTTCTTCAAAGTAATGAACGGCAATCATGCAAAAATGAATTATATGCTTTTTCTATCATTGTCTTTCTAAAGTCACAATAAACGAACTCTAGAAAAATTATTAATCCAGGTCCCAGGCATTTCAGGTGAGACGTTTTACATTCACACCAGTGATTTATGTTACAAAATGAGGAAGGATCTTATTTTGTTAAGAGACGTGGTCATATTTATTGGTTTAGAGTAGCCAATTTCTGGGATAAAAGCACCTAGGAAGCACCTTTTTAAGGTCACTGAAAATAAGTAAATTCTTGATTTAGTTTATCAGATGGCATAGGGGTGGGCAAGACAAATTAATGCCCAAGCCACACCAGGGATAACTGAGGCACAGTTAAATCAGGGCCATAGTTATCCAGGTTTCTTTGCTGGCATCAGGTATATAAGATCTCGTGTGGCAAGAGAATAGAATATAAATGCATAGCCTACAGTGTGGCAAAAATAGAAAACAAAAAGAGGCTGGGCGTGGTGGCTCACACCTATAATCCCAGCACTTTGGGAGGCCAAGATGGGTGGCTCATGTGAGGTCAGAAGTTCAAGACCAGCCTGACGAACATGGTAAAATCCCGTTACTACTAACAGTAGAAAAATTAGTTGGGCATGGTGGCAGGCACCTGTAATCCCAGCTACTCAGAAGGCTGAGGTGGGAAAATCACTTGAACCTGGCAGGCAGAGGCTGCAGCAAGCCAACATCATGCCACTGCACTCCAGGCTGAGCGTCAAAGCGAGACTCCATCTCAAAAAAAAAAAAAAAAAAAAAAAAAATGCAAAAAGAAAACAAAAAGAGGAAGAAAAGCTATGACATGTGTCCATCCCAGAGCACGTCTTCCATTACTGTTACTCTCATGTGTGTCACACTTCCTGGGGCCACTGAAGTCACTAACCCTGGCAGAGAAGGTCGGAATTTTCCTACTCTAAAAAGAGAAATGGGGCAAAATATAGCATAGAAGCTAAGCTGGTGGGAAATCAAGAAGAGGGCTATCTCTATAAACATGTTATCAAAAAAAAAAAGGAAGCCTTGCCCAGGCACAGTAGCTTATGCACAGTAGGCCCAGCACTTTGGGAGGCCAAGGCAGGTGGATAATTTGAAGTCAGGAGTTCAAGACCAGCCTGACCAACATGATAAAACCCTGTCTCTACTAGAAATACCAAAAAAAAAAAAAAAAAAATAGCCAGGCATGGTGGAATACACCTGCAATCCGAGCTACTTGGGAGGCTAAAGCAGGAGAATCATTTGACCCTGGGAGGCAGAGGTTGCAGTGAGCTGCGATCACACCACTGCACTCCTCACAGCAACAGCAAACTAAGTCTCTGCCTCCCACCCCCACTACCTTTCTAGGCTGGAACTCTGTCCTGTGTCTTCCAATGCATAGAACATTCTAGAAAGAAGGCTTTTGCCCTAGTACAGAAGACAAGGGACAGTGTCCTCTTCCTCTCCTGATAGTCCAGGAGACCTGTCCTGCCCCATCCCACCTCAGGAATAGGCTGCTTGAAACCCATAAATATGACCAGGTCTCTTAATGCAGTGAGATACCTGCTCATTTTGGAATACCAACTTACACCTAGGACCTGGATTAGTAACTTTTCTAGGGCTTACTTATCTCTAGTGCAGAAGAAATCCTTACCTTCAGAAATGGCTTTTCTCACAGCTGCCACGTAGGTCTCTGGCTCATCGTCGCAGGTGAGCTCCTGCCAGTGGGCCCAATCTGGGAAGAAGTCTAGGAACTCCTCGCTGTCCCGCACGCCGCAGAGCAGCCTGACCACGCGGTGCGGAGGATGGAAGGCTCTCTGCAGCAGGGGGAGCAAGGCGGGCTGGTGGAAGTGCTGCACCAGCTCCGCGGACAGCAGCACCACAACACAGCGGGTGCTGAGGAAAAGGCTTAGGTCCTCTGCCGAGAAGGAGGCCTCGGGGCCCAGCCTGTGAGTCAGTATCTTCTGGCTGCGGACCTGCCGACTGGACAGGAACAGAGTCTGCAGGTACTGGCACCATTCCTCGGCATCCGGGCTGTAGGCGATGAGGATGTCGCATATTCTGGGCACCCCTGGGCAAGAATGAGGAACAGAAGCATGTTAGCACCTCTGCCCTTCTAGGTGGCTCCCCACAACCTGCAAATGTAGACCATCCAGAAGTGGGTTCTGGCACCCACAATCTTTCATGATTTGCCTCCAGCACACTAGCACACCTCACTCACTAATTTCTTTCCCCATTTACAGTCTGTGTTCCAATCATACCAGACTCCTTGTCTTCGCCCAAACATACTATGCTGTTTTATGTATTATTTCTTTATTTAGAGACAGAGTCTTGCTCTGTCACCCAGGCTGGAGTGCAGTGGTGCGATCTCAGCTCACTACAACCTCCGCCTCCTGGATTCAGGTGATTCTCCTTCCTCAGCCTCCTGAGTAGCTGGGATTACAAGCACCCGCCACCATGCCTGGCTAATTTTTGTATTTTTAGTAGAGACGGGGTTTTACCATGTTGGCCAGGCTGGTCTCGAACTCCTGACCTCAAGTGATCCACTCACCTTTGCCTCCCAAAGTGCTGGGATTATAGGTGTGACCCACCAGGTGTGGCCCATGTGTTTTAGATCCATGCATGAGCTTTTGCTTCTGCCTGGCATGCCATTTCCCTCCACACCTGATGCAGTATGAGATAATAACAATAACAATAATAATAAATAATAATAATAGCAAAACCAAGTGCTTATAGAAGTCACTGTGTTCCAGGCACTCTTCTAAGCACATGGTCCACTAAACGCATTACATCTTCACAGCAACTTTAGAAGGTAGGTACTATAATTAGCTCATTTAAAAAAAATGAGAAACCTGAGGTGTGGCAGGTTAAGTAACTTGCCCAAGATTCACAGTGGCCGAGTAAGGATTTGAGTTAAATTAGATATTTCACATAAACTGCTAAGCATAGTGCTTGTTGTGTAGAAAACCCTCAGTAATCGGTAGCTGGTGTCATTATCCTCACATTGATATAAATAATGTATAATACTAAAGTACATGGTAGTTGTGGTTGAATTCATGCAGTGACCTCCATAGTACAATTTGCAAGGCATCTCTCACCACACCTGCCACATAACACACGCTTTCTTCTTCCTCTAACAAAGCACAAATGCCAAAGAGAGAGTCAAAAAGGGCTTGCATGGATCACTTGGCCCAAACTCCTCATTTACAGATGAAAGAAACACTTCATCTAGGAAGGTTCAGGGACTTGCTCAGCTTCACACTCTAGATTATTGGCAGAGCCAGGACTGATACTCAGGTTGTCCCCTGGTTCCCAGTCCAGTCCCCTTCACAACTCACCTCCCATCAGGAACTATGTCAAGAATCTTACAAGTAATAAGCCATAGCTTCCAATTACCAAAGTTCAAAGCAGCTTGCCTCTTCATGTAACTGTTACCACTGTTTGGGGTCACCCTCTCTCCATGAATTCAACAAACTGTTCTGTGAGTGATTTGGAAGAGGTGAGTATAAAGTGTCCATGTAGCATACGACACAACTGGGAACTCAGAGAAGGAAGTGGGTCACATTTTATGAAGGTTGGGAACCATCTAAGTTGTAGAATAAAACAATTAAACATGAGGCCTGGGCCGCATTTCACTGATGGTTCCCGTTGAAAAGGAGAGAGGCAGGACTTAGGCAAGAGCTTGAGGATCTGAAAAGATCACGGGATGAGTCCTCTTTCCTGCCCACATCCAATCCATCACTATATTCAAACCAAAAACCAACATGCACAATGCAAACCCAACACAGTTCTGATTTCCCCCAGGATGACATTGCCAAATGTTTAAAAATAGCAAACAGGGCCGGGCGCGGTGGCTCAAGCCTGTAATCCCAGCACTTTGGGAGGCCGAGGCGGGTGGATCACAAGGTCAAGAGATCGAGACCATCCTGGTCAACATGGTGAAACCCCGTCTCTACTAAAACTACAAAAAAATTAGCTGGGCATGGTGGCGCGTGTCTGTAGTCCCAGCTACTCAGGAGGCTGAGGCAGGAGAATTGCCTGAACTCAGGAGGCGGAGGTTGCGGTGAGCCGAGATCGTGCCATTGCACTCCAGCCTGAGTAACAAGAGCGAAACTCCGTCTCAAAAAAAAAAAAAAAAAAAAAAAAAAAATAGCAAATAAGATGAATATTTGCAGTTTCATTCTTTTTCGAGCCCCGTTGATTTTCTGGAGCCCTCATCCAGTGCTAATATAAAACCCAGCAGGCTTCTCAGCAGGAGCAAGTGGGTCAGCCTGGGAGTATTTTTGAAGGGAAGGTGTACAAATCTTTTAAAAAGTCTATCTTAGACAAACAGTATGGAACTGGAGAAAAACAGTCAGCAATTCTGACAATGCCCTGGACATTTGTGGTTCTACAGAGAACTCAATTCTGATCACGTTCTGTTCCCTCAATTGTGAATATAACCATCCTTTTCAGGAATGTCTACCCCGATTCCAAAGCTTAATCAGATTAAGGATAAAAATTTAATGTACCAGTGCTGCAGCCTTCCATAAAAATAAATAAATAAATAAATAAAAATCTTTGCTGTTTGCTTCTTTTTCTCCTGCGTAGAATATTTCTTTATACCTCAGTGGAAAAATAATTTCAAGACTATAGAAGGCTTAACATTGGCAAAGCTACATAACTATGGAGCTGACACTGAGAAGCAGATTAAAGTATCAGAATACATTTACCTTCTTTCCATCCTTCCTTCCTATGCAGCTGGTTTATCTTAAGAGGCAAAGGTTCTCCTAAGTGTGAAGTGTTATTGCAGATGTGTGTGCCTGGGCATGAGCCATCAGGTAGGAAAGGTGCAAGACTTCACCTTTCATTGTAATATTAAGGATGTAATGTTAGCGATGGTGTACAAGGAGCCTGGAGCATTTTGTAAAAATGCAAAAGTGAAAAAGGGTAGCCACCACCTTCCTCCACATACATAGGATGATCATGTCAACAATTTGTGCAAGAGACAGAAGGAGAATAAAATCTCAGAAAGGGATGGCTGTGGTTCCATATAATAGTGATGAAGAAACCGTAAGTAATGTTTTCAAAAGGGCTAGCAGGTGATGGCAGAAAAGTGAAGAAGAAGAAAATTTCCTGGAGCACAGAAGTACCCTTAAGAAGGGCAGCTTGGGGCCAGGCACAGCGGCTCATGTCTGTAATCCGATCACTTTGGGAGGCCAAGGCAGGAGGATTGCTTGAGCTCAGGAGTCTGAGACCAGCCTGGGCAACATGGTGAAACCGCGTCTCTATAAAAATGCAAAAATTAGCCAGGCATGGTGGTGTGCTCCTATAGTCCCAGCCATTCAGGAGCCTGAGGTAGAAGATTGCTTGAGCCCAAGAGGCAGCTTGGGTTTGGGGGCACTGACTGACTTAGTAGAAAAGCAGCAACTTTTCACTGTTTGAAAGACCACATGGCCATGAGTGACTACTCCAATTTTATGAAGAGAATTTAGTGACTCAAAAGTAAGCGAACATTTTTTAAATGACAAACTCTAGGGCCACAGAGGGAATGGGTACTCAGTTCCCCCTGGATCCTGTCTCACCAGTTAATAGCAGATCCTGCTCCTCAGTTAACAGTGCATCATACTTTCTGTTCATTAAAGCCTCCAAGTCATCAAGGAAAGTTGAAATTGTAATTCAGCTATTTCCCGAGCACTGACCATGTGTCAGTCACTCTGCTAAGCATCTCATGTACATTCTCTCATTTAATCCTCAGAACAGTTCACAAAGCATGTCAAATAGCCCCATTTTAGAGACACAGACATTAAAACTCGAAGATTTGCTGCTGCTGTGGCTGCTGCCCGAGCGCACAGTGTTAGTCAGTGCCAGACCTGGAATCTTGACTCCAAAGTCCATGCTCTTACTCTCTAAGTTGCACCCAATTTAAAAACTCAAGGAAATACAGAATATAGTCTAGAAAATACAGTTAATAAGACACATCTAGTGCCATGGGTTTCTCATACCATTCTCCAGTAAAAGGATCCAGGGTTCCTTAGAGAAATGATAAATTCTAGGAATTAGTCTAGGATTATGTATTTCCTGGGGCCAAAAATAATCAATATAAGCCTGGAGCATCTTGTAGTGCCAGAAAGTAAATGCTCAAACAAAAATTCAATGACAGGCATATGTCAAAGGAACGTAAGAGTCAATTCAAAGCACCCAATGGCCAAAGCTGGAACCATGTGAGCAATAAATTTAATAAAATAATATTGAATTATAACCCAAAGCATAAAAGAAATATACAAGAGTCCATACTGATATGGAATAAATAATTGAACAAATACATTGGGGGAAAAAGACAAATCTCCCATGCATAACAATTCAAATAATTTATGTAGATAGCTCCACCCTCAAGGAGGTAGAGTGTAACTCCTTACACAGAGAACTTTAGCGGGGGCTGTGTGGAGTGCATTCTTTCCAGAGAGCACAGTGTGGAAAGGGAGGGAAAAAGAGGAAATTTACAATAGAGAAACCCAGTGATCAAGGTCAGCATCAACAGTCACAAATCATGTTGAGGGTGTGTGCCCTGAATACCATGTGCTGAGAATGTTACTTTACCTCTGTGTTCCTCCTCCCTGAAACCCAGCACCCCAGTCTAATTATAGGAAAAAGTATCAGACAAATCCCAACTGAGCGACTGAGGGCCATTCTACAAAATAACTGACCAGTACTCCTTAAAACTGTCAAAGTCATCAAAAACAAGGAAAATCAGAGAAAAATTGCAGCCTTGAGAAGCCTAAGGAGACAGGCCTACTAAATATAACATAGCACCTGGGATGGGCTCCTGGAGCAGAAGAAGGACATTACATACAACCTAAGGAGAGCCTCAACTTTCAGTTAATAATAATTTATCAATATCAGTTAATTAATGTCACAAATACCACACTAATGTAAGATGTCAGTAATAGTTGAAACTGGATGTGGTCTGCACTATCTTTGTAGTTTTTCTGGAAAACTAAAACTGTTCTAAAATAAAAGTTTATTTAAAAGTACAACTGAAATAAAAAGCACTTAAAGGTTAGACTTTTCTATATTTAAAAAAAAAAAAAAAAAAAAAAACAGCTATCCAAAATGTTTCATTCCTGGTCAGGCATGGTGGCTCATGTCTGTAAAACCAGTACTTTGGGAGGCTGAGGGAGGCGGATCACTTGAGGCCAGGAGTTCGAGACCAGCCTGGCCAACGTGGTGAAACCCCATCTCTACAAAAAAATACAAAAATTAGCTGGGTATGGTGGTGCACACCTGTAATCCCAGCTACTCAGGAGGCTGAGACCTGAGAATTGTTTGAACTCGGGAGGCGGAGGTTGCAGTGAGCCCAGATCATACTACTGCACTGCAGCCTGGAAGACAGAGTGAGAACCTGTCTCATTAAATAAATAAATACACAGTGTTTCATTCCTGGGGTTCTAGTGTTAAATCCAATTCCCTTTGAGCAAAAGTATTTGAGGAGAAATTAGTTACTGCCTCAGACTAGTTAACATTACAACCTATTTGGTCACTAACTTGTGGTGTGACTTAGACCAATTACTAAGTCTAGGCAAATTTGCCTTGATGTAAATGAGGACAGTGAAATCTGTCACCTTCCTGAATATTGCTGTGCTGGGAAACTGAAAGATGGGGAAGTTTTTAAAAAGTCCAGATTGAAAGTTCCAGTCCCTTTCTGATGTGCTGGCTAATAATACAGGGCTAAATGCTTTGTCAGCAACACGGGGAAATCCCTTTCTTCAACAGTAATCCTTTTCCTTTAACCATAAGCTGTTTTCCACTTGTCCCCAATCACTTCTCTCTTTTTTTGCTTGTTCATTTATTAAGAGTAATGAAACACGTGAACCAACAAGGAGTCCAAAAGCCCTAGACAGGAATGAGGAAGGGTCTTTGTCCTTGTAAAACGTTAAGAACAGGTTTGGCTATAGAAGGAGAAAGAAATGGATCACAGCAGAGGAAGGAGAGGCTGTGGCAACAGGGAGTTCACAGGGTAAGAAGCCGAGGCTGAAAGAGAGGTGGCTTTGCAGTATTCAGAACCCAGTGGAGGGCCGGGTGTGGTGGCTCACACCTGTAATGCCAGCACTTTGGGTGACCAAGGTGGGCGGATCACTTGAGGTCAGGAGTTTAAGACCAGCCCGGCCAACATGGTGAAACCCCATCTCTACTAAAAATACAAGAATTAGCCGGGTGTGGTGGTGGGCGCCTGTAATGTCAGCTACTCAGGAGGCTGAGGCAAGGGAATCACTTGAACCCAGGAGGCAAAGGTTGCAGTGAGCCGAGATCACGCCACTGCACTCCAGTCTGGGTGACAGAGTGAGACTCCATCTCAAAAAAAAAAAGAGAACTCACTGGAAAGAAGTGCATAGAGGAAGTGCCAGAGAGCTTCTCAAACCATTCAGCCCAGACCATTTCTTCAGCCTGTAGGTGACTCTGGCCCCCATTCATCCATCCTGGAGCACTGTGTGTGAATCTGACCACCATAGCTGAAGAGAGATAAGAGATAGGGAGGGTGACCAGGATAAGGAGAGTAGTGGTCAATCATATCAGGAGCTTCCCATCCCAGAAAGTGTTCACATTTAGGGACTGGCAAGAGTATTGAGAGTCCTCAAGGAACCACATGAAAGTTAAAATCACAAAAAGGTTGAAAGTCCCTTCAAGCTCTACGGTCCTGTAAGTCCAGGAATAGTAGAAGGATCTAGAGAGAAGAGACGCCTTGGAGAGAAGGGGCAAGAAAAGGTCTGACAGCTGACACACACAGGAGAGCATCCTAGTCTCTCTTCACCCAGCCACAGACTAGGCCACTTGGGAAAGTCACCCCTGGATTTCCTTCCGCTCTCTCATGTGTAAATACACAAGATGCCCTCAGAGGCCTAGAGAATCTTGTGGAATAGGCCGAGTCCATTTCATTTTATCTTCCTACTCAAGGTCCTTTCAAAGGTAGGGATCCCCGATTCTCCTGGATTTCAACAAGCAAACACATCTTTCAGAAAATAATACAGACTAATGCTTCCCTTTCAGTGGAAGGGAATTTAAGAAGACCAGAGGATTAGGCCATAAAAAGGAAGTACTGATATAAGCTACAGTGGGATGAACTTTGAAAACATGCTGTGCAAAGGAAGCCAGTCACCAAAGGCCATATACTATGCGATTCCATTGATACAAAAGCCCAGAGTCAGGAAATCTATAGAGGCAAAGTGCATCTTAGGTTTGTGGGAGGAGAGGAGAATAAGAGGGTAATAGCTAAAGCACACAAGGTTTCTTTCTGAGGTGATGAAAAAGTTCTAAAATTGACTGTGGTAATGGCTATACATACCTATGAAGATACTAAAAATCACTGAATTGTACATTTAAATGGATGAATTGTGTGGCATATGAATTATGTCACAATAAAGCTGCTTTTTAAAAAAGAAGAACCTACAGAAGGGTGGCTGGATGACTCCAAAGCCCACAGCATCTTGATGAGAGGCACTGCCCTCACCACTGTGACCTGCCCCCGTGGGTCATGGTCCTTCCAGACCTCAGGAAACCCAAGGGACTCCGGAGGCCCAATTCTCAACTACAGCACCTGGAGTGGTGTCTTGCCACAGAAGATACAGACAGCAAGACAGTTTGACAGCTCTAACCATGAGAGACACCTGCAGAAGCTGCTACAGAGCCCAGAAATAGCCCAGGTTTGCCCACTGGACTAGGGTCCCCCTCTGAACTGGAGCCTCTTCAGCTGTCCCCACTAGAGAGATACACACAGGACGCTGGACAAGAGGAAAAGAGAGGCAATTTTCTCAGCCTCTTCCACCCAAAGGCCCTCCCAGTTCGTGGTTTCCTGGACTCAGCAGCCGAGGGCCTGTCCCCAATCATGGAGGGAAGAAGGCAGCTTCACTGGTTTATTCGCTGACCTCATCTCCCTCTCCCCCACAGCCCACCCTGCTTGCTCTCTTTCCTTTAACACATCACATACACTCATTGCTTCGCGCACTCTTTCCCAAAGAGTCCCCTCCCTCTCCTCCTTCAAATCTTGGTTCAAATGTCCCTTTCTCTGCCCAGGCCACCTCATTTACACTTCTAACCCCAATCTTCCTTACCCTTCTTTATTGTTTTTCCATAGTACCTGTCATACCAGGGACTCTCCTTATTAAGTGTATATTACCTGCTATTACCAGGCCTCCTTGTTCACAATACAGCTTCTTTTAGCCTCCAGAGCCCAGCTGGAGAGCCAAGAGGCTGTGATTAACTACCTTCCCATCCCCTTTAGATAATGAGTCTGCAGCATCAAATCTAATAGATCCGTCACCCCTAACCTTTTCCACCTTTGCTTCCAAAGGGTACACCTCAGAGGATCTGGGGAGAGCTGGCTCCTCCTTCCAGTTTTGCTCACCTCCTCTAAGAACAATGCCTTCTCCTGGCCACCTGGATTTTCTTTTTTAAGGGACACCTGCAACCTGTTTTCACATGTTATCCCTACTAAAACATCATAAAGTGGGCTGAGAAAATACAAGTAAACCCATTTGCCAACATGGTAACTATACCTCCTCTCATTTAGTGATTCCTTATTTACTTACTGCTTTCCTTTACAGGACCATAAACTCCTGGAGAGCAGAGACGAGGTGTGTCCTGCTCACCATGGAGAACACATTAGGTGCACAATATCCACTGGAGTGCAGTAGTAAAGACTCATCAATTGTGTCTATTATCATCATTATGTGGTTTGTCCTGGATGTCCGTGAGTGAGCCACTTCCCAAGGGTGTACACCCATAAACCAGAAGGGAACCCAAAAGCAGCCAAAAAAGACACCTGGCACCTTTGATGGGTACATTTACCCAGTGATCGTCAACTCTCCCCATTCCCCAAAGTTCTGCAAAGGACGCAGGAAAAGTAAAATTTAAGGAGTAGTGTTCCTAGATCCGTAGCAAAGTTCTAGACCAAAACACAAAGCCTGGGACGGGTGGAGTAACGGGGCTTGGGAAGCTGTCCCAGGGGCCCTAGCTGACCTCTCCGCACCACCTAGGACTGCCTGAGCGCCCCCTGTGGGTTCATGGAGCCCAGGAGACGCGTCTGGTCGCGTAGACCGTGCACACCACTCGCCCTCTGCTTCTCTCAACTCGCCTCTCGCTTCAGAGTCGGAGGACCAGGGGAAGACGCTCAGACACTCCGAGGGCCAGAGGTGAAGGGAGCGAAGGAGACTCAGAAGAAGGGGGAGCCCCAGGCAGGGGCTGAAGAGAATCGCGCAACAGGCTGAGGCGGGAAACGTGGGAAAGTTGGGGCTGGAAGTTTGCGACGCGAAACAGAGAAAAGAGCAGAAAGGACGCAAGATCCCCGCACTGAAGACGCAAACGCGAGCCCCGGAGCGCGCCCCGAAGGGTGCAGGGGGCGAGAGAGGGGCCGGGGGCCCAGGTGGGGCGCCCGGCGCCTGCCTACCCACCTGAGGCTGCCATGCCGCCGGGCGCCGCTCACATCCCCGGCTCGCTGCGTGGCCCGGGCCTGGGCCGGGGCCAACGGCGTCCTGGCGCTGGCAGGAGGGGAACCCGGCTCCGCGCAGGACCGGCCGCTGCTCTGGCGCTTCCTCCCGCCGGGCAGCCCGGCCTCGCCGCGAGGGCGTGTCCACAGGGTCCGCCCCGCCTGCTGGGCTCGGCCCGCGGCACCTGCACCCGCAGCCGTTGGGGAGGGGAAGTGAGAAGCCCAGGCCGGCTGCCGGCCAGCACGCCCCCCACAGCCCCCTGCTCAGGGGTAGAGAGGAGGCCGGGGCTTCGCGCCACGTGCGCCCCACTCCTCGGGAAACCAGCCCTGATCTGCCACCAAAGGGCAGCCAGGGGTGGAGAGGGAGTGAGGAGGGGTCAGAGGGGGAGTGTCGGGGTGCCAGGCTTCTGGGCGCCGGGCAGGGCGGGGGGGGGGCGTGAGCACCAGCTGTCCAAGCCACCTCCTCATCCCCTGGGGCTCTGTCCCTAAGCCCCTGCTGCCCCAGCAGGAAAGGGGAGGGGACAGGAAGGGGAAGAGAAGGGCTGGGCACCTGGCCCTGGGTGCTAGGGTTGCCCTTGCGTGCCCTCCTGCGACCTTTGTGCAGTTCCTTGGATCTGGTCTCCTGATGGCACATGAACATTGATTGTAATCTCAACATGATAAATGTAAGATTAAATAGAGTTTCTCTGCCATTCATTTCCTGTGTTGCTGTCTGCTGGGCCCGGCGTTTAGCACCTTACACACGTTTTGCATTGTATCCTCACAGAAAGCCTCTGAGGTAGCGCCTATCACTATCTGTACATTAGAGCCGAAGAAACAAGCCAAATACCTTGCTCAGGCTTCCACAGAGAATAAAAGCTCCTGGAGGTTTCAGTACCAAGCCAGTCTGCTTCAGAGCTAACGCTCTTGCTTAACCTTTCTCTTCACCTGTCCTCTCCTTGGACTCCTCCCTTTGCCGGCTACTGAAATTCACCTAAATAGCACATGCCCTTGGAGTTCTCAACAATCCAGGGGCTAGAGGATGGAACCAGAGAGCAGATATGAGGGAAGGTTAGGGCTCGTCTAGGTGGAAATAAATGAAATGGATCTAAGAATGGGAATATCAGGATGAGGCCATGCATTCATTTTCTACTGTTGCCATAATAAATTAATACACATTTAGTGGCTTAAAACAACGCCAACTTATTATTTTACAGTTCTGTAGCTCGGAAGTGTGACATGAGTCTCCATGGGCTAAAATCAAGGTGGAGGCTGGGTTGGGTTTCTTTCTGCCAAATAGAAGGGAATCCATTTCCTTGGCTTTTTCAGCTTCTAGAAGCCATCCATATTCCTTGGCTCATGACCCTCTTGTTCCATCTTCAAAGCCAAATGGCCATGCTTCTGTCATGACATCTTTCTCTGACTCTCTTCTATCTCCCTCTTCCAGTTTTAAGGACCCTAGTGATTACATTGGGCCCTCCTGGATAGGCCAGGAAAATCTCCCTATCTGGACAAACTTGCCTGAACACTGGTCTTCCTGACTACCCCCTTCCTTCTCTCCCCGAAGCTTCTCTGCCTCTTCACAAGTCCCTGGGCCTGGCTAGTTTGTGTTCTTTGTCAGAGACATTTCTGCTGAGGGTGCATCTGTCCATTCAAGGTCAACTCCCTTGGCGTTCCCACTGTTCGAATGCATGTTCCTCCCTTCCGCCTCTGGATGTTAGGGAGAAAGGGCCCTTTCTTTCCTTCTAACCAAGTTCATCTGGACAACTTTTAACCTAAAGGATATTTTAACTTGTTAAACCATTAGAAGCCCCCTCCAGGTGCAGGTAAGGTTTTGGGTGCCAGGTCAGCTATCCAAACTCTGCTCCCATTCCTGCAATAGCACTGACCTCTCAAACTGGGGCAAAATGAGGACTCAGAGGCCAACAGTCCCTTGGTGAGAGGACGTGACTGGTCCCTGACTCTGGCAATTTCACTCCGTTTCTCTGTAGAGCAGGTAGAGCCAGATTAGGGGAAGGAATGTCTGTTTGGTTTTGTACCTCCATTTGGCAGGTTTTGCAGAGTGGGAGTGGTAGGGATAGGCAGGCGAGCAGCTGCCCCTCTGGAAGGCCCTGCTCCGCCCCCGGGCACTGGCTCTCCTGGGCAGGCTCTGCAGTCGGTCCCTGTTGCACTGGGTGGTGGTCGAATGGGCTTGAGGAAAAATGGAGAACCCGACCTCGACTGCTGCCCTACAGCTCGGCTTGGCCTGGCAAAAGGGAGAGGTTGGAGAGGTAAACATGTGTCATCTAAGGAACGGGGGCCTGTGGGCAGGGCGGCAGGAATCCCTGCTTCTTACATCTTCAGGATGTTATTTCATAGTCTCTCAGACCTGGGGATCAGAGCCTTTTCCCTGGTTAGCAAAACCTCGCTTTCTAGGACAAAATGTGAAGGTGGAGGAGTGTGTCACCATAGATACTCATGATCCATCTTAATTCTCTTACCTATCCTATGAGGAAGGTACTAAGAGTACACACATTTTACATATAAGAAGTTAAGCAACTTTTGCCCAAGGGCACACAGCTAGTAATTGTAGCACTGAGTTTTGAACCTGGACAGTCTGGCTTCAGAGCCCGTGCTTCTGCCACTAGATTAGGTGGTAAATGCTTGAAGCAGGCCCTGCTATGACATAAGTCACCACCAGCCTTTGTTGGCATCACCTCACATTGCAGGTAGACAGTAGCTCTCTGTCACCTGTGAGCTCTCCTGCTCTGTCAGAATTGCCTTACTCTCACGAAGGACAAACATCCGTAAAAGTCCCCACCTTGGAGCACCCCTCATCCCCCACCTCCCTGCCTACCTCTCTGTCAGTGTCCTGTGAGACCATCAGTGTCTTGATGGCATTGCTGTCCACACAGTGAATGTTTAATTGCTTTGTTTGTTTTTAAATTATCAAGGCCAACCTGCTCATTTTACAGATGAAGATACTGACATACAAGCCGAATGACCTGCCCAAGCTCCCACAGCTTTCAGTCAAAGGACTTGTTCTTTGTTTTGTTTGGCAGAGCAAGAGGACTCAGGCATGTTCATATGGATACGGTAGAGTGCGTGAAGACTGGACTCCGTAGGACTGGCAGGTGGCAGGTAGGACATCACAGGTGGGGACAGGGAAAAGGAGTTTGAGGGCACCAGTGCCTGTTTTTGCCTTGTGAACGCCCTGGCTTTATAAAGACTCTTGCCCTTCCTGCCCTTCCTGTCTGCCTGAGACGGTCTCAGCTCAATAGGGCATCATATCAAAACTCGATGCAGGTAATTTGGGAACATTTGTAGCTTTTAGGAACTGTATTCTTGCAGATGAAACCTAGAAGCCTAGCCCTCCTTCCCTGCTCACCGAAACGGCCACTCTCCATGAAGGCCCTGCCACAGCCTATGGGTCCCTCCTTGGGCCATTTTGAGTAATGGCAGTGCCCATTTCCAGGCCCTGGACCTCAAGTTCAGAGAAATAAAATGTTGGGTATCCACTACGTGGCTCTGATAAGGTAATTCACCTGACTCATGGCCACTGGGCTAGTAAGTATCAAAGCTAGATTTTGAATTCGAATCCATTTATTATGCCAGAATTGCCTCCCTTGTCATGTGTTGTGATTTAGAAGTCATGACAGCTGTCTCATGGCCATTGTTCGCATGGCAGCTCAGGACAACATCCTAGAGCAGTTATGCCACCTTGCTGACTCATATTGAGCATGTAGTCACCTCAGAACGCCAGTTCTTTTTCATGTAACTTGTAGAAGCCATGCCTTTCCCTCTGCCACACTACAGTTGTACAGTTGTGTTTGCTTTGTTGATGGGGGTGCTTGGAACCCAACTGCAACAATTTAATGCTTAATTGAGCATACAGGCCAGGAGCAGTGGCTCATCCCTGTAATCCCAGCACTTTGGGAGGCCGAGGTGGGTGGATGACCTGAGGTCAGGAGTTCAAGACCAGCCTGGCCAAAATGGTAAAACCCTGTCTCTACTAAAAATACAAAAATTAGCCAGGCGTGGTGGCAGACCCCTGTAATCTCAGCTACTTGGGAGTCTGAGGCACAAGAATCACTTGAACCCGGGAGGCAGAGGTTGCAGTGACCAGAAATCAAGCCATTGCACTCCAGCCTGGGTAACAGAGTGAGACTCCATCTCAAAAAAGAAAACCAACAGCAACAGCAATAAACATTATATGTTAGATTGGAGCCAGTGTTCCAGCCTGTCAAGATTGTTCCAACTCAGGATTCCATCACTGATGGCAGAATTTAACAACTGGTCTACCAAAAATAACTTTAGCAACAAGAAAAAGAAGTGTCACAGAGATTGCTCACTGCCCACCTAATATTTATTCTCCCCTAATTTCTTAGGAACAGAATTCCAATTTTATTTGGGGACTACAATGTGCTCCACTAAAAGACCATTCCTCAGCCTCTCTTGCAACTTAGAGGAGGCTGATAAGGTGTAAATGGAAGTCATTGGCTGGGTTGTCTCAGAAAATTCTTTATAAGAGACTTAACTCTGCTGACAGACACCCTTCTGCTTGTCTCCCTTTCTTTTACTTCCTGCCTGTAATGTGAATGTGATGGCTGGAGCTCCAACAGCCCTCTTAGATCATGTGGTGACCATATGGATAGGCCCCATACACTAAAGATGGCATAGCAGAAAGCTGGGCCGAGCCTGATTCCCTGATGACCAGGGAGCTCCCAAACAAGCTCCAGTTTTCACACATCTGACATCCTTTACAGGAGAGGAAAAACAAATACGTCTCTGTCTTGATCGAGCCATGATTATCTGGTGTTCTGCTCTGTGTAGCCAAACCTAATTCTTTACTGATAAAGGAACGGAAGCTAGCATTTATTGAGCACCTACTATGACTCTTGAGCTCTCTTACGCTATCTCAGTTAATTCTCATAATAATTCTGCATGATAGGTGTTCACAGAGGAAGAAACTGAGAGTAAGTAAGATTAGATCATGTTTCCTGGGTCATTCAGCAGGCAG